TACTGCAAATAAAAATAGTCTTTTAAGTACTCAAAGAACTTTGTCAGTTTAATTCAAAGTAAAATTAATGTCCAATAAATGATAAAATGATAATTTGGGCATATTTCAGGAAATCCCTGATTATTATAATCTCATAAGCTGGCAAATATTGCATTATTAGCATGGTATGATTGTATACATTTTTAAAAATTTGTAAATGTATTTGCTCCTAATTCAGAGAAATGTGACAGCCTTTCTCCCCATATATGAGATCCAGTGTGCGTGATATGTTTTCCTAAGTGTGTGTTTTTGTTTTGAAAATATAAATATAATATTTGGCAAATTTACAATTTTCAAAAGTGTAAAACATCACTTTCTCTACCCTTTTAGTGTCCTGGATTTTAGGTTGTCAAATTTAAATCTGCTCTCAAGTCAAGGTCTGTTTGTCAGTGCTCACTGATATCAGTATGATTATAGCTTCTTTTTCATGTGGTTTTATCAAGTGCCTGGCACTGTGCTATGCTCTTCGTTCTTATTCTGTCATTTAATCCTTGGTACAGTTTTGCAGATGATAAAACTAGATCTAAGAGTGTAATTAACTCCTCACAGTCACTCAGCTGATAATAGGTGGAGCAGGAGTCTCCTGATCCTTTGCACCAGGCACCCTGTCCCTCTAGAGCAGATGAGCATTGTTATGTCTACATTAGTGCTGTTGTTTTCAATATATAACATTCATATGACATCATCTCCTACTAGTCCATTAATACATGAAGATCACTATCACTGGAATTGCTTTTCCTCTCCTCTTTTTAGTTCCACATGTATGCATAAATAGCCAAGTCTTTGAACAGTCCTGTGCTGTTCAAAGAAGGATGAGTATTTCAGACTCCTTTCTTCTGTGTGTTGATTTAAATGGAGATTATCTTCAAGTGAGATACAGGAGTCAGGGGCTCAAGCTAGGAAGAACTGTTTGTAATGACCTTTTGGGTAAGTTTGATTTCACCAGTCTCAGAACAAGGAATATTGTTATGGACAATCTTATATTTAATTGTACTTCTTACAGCATCCTGTAGTTAGTTATTCTTAGTGTGAATTAACACTTGACTATTTTACAATGCTATAACAAAGTGAGTTTGAACTTAAAATATTGAAATGTTGTTGCCCACAGGACTTTAAGATGCCTCCCCAAGATCCAGCCTGTTTATGCCAGGAGTGGAATTTTGCAGCATTCGTCTTTTATTGTCATAAAATAAAATGCTGGAGAGAAGCCAAGATCGATGGCTAACTTCCATGCTCCCAGATACTCAGGTGGCTGAGGCAGGAAGACCACAAGTTCCAAGCCAGCCTCAGCAACTTAGGCCCTTTCTCAAAAACAATATTTTTAAAAAGGGCTGAAGATTTAACTCAGTGGTAGAGTGTTTGCTCAGCCATGTTTGAAGCTCTAGGTTCAATCACCAGTACCACAAATACTACTAAAAAAATAAAATAACAAAGAGAAAGCTTGTAACAACTTTAATGGAAAAGAGTTGAATAATTATTTGGGAAGTTACTAGATGAAGTCTGTGTAGAAGACCTGTCTCAAGCCTATCATGTCTGGTCTAGGAAAGACACAGTAACCTTCAGTGGCGTCTGAAGTTATGATTTTTGCAATTGTATGTATGATAGTATAGACTTCCCATGTCGTATCATATAATTGCTATTCTTCTTAGACCAATACAAACCCAGTAAGCTAACCATGACCATTTTGTCATCTTTCTTCCAAAGGAAAATTTACCAAAACAAAAACATTTTTTAAAAACATACACTGGAAAAAAAAAAAAGGACATTGGTTTAGAAGTGCTTATTTTGGTCAGAAATTCTGATTATGTGGAAATGGGTTTACAAAGACATGATATTAAAGATATGTGAATGTGTTCTGCACAATGAGAAATTACTACACCTGTGGGATCTGGTCTTCCTAACTTATACAATTTTGTGTATGTAGAACTCTAGTGACTCATATATTTTAGAGGAAATTTTCAGATTTTTAAAAATTAGAAAGAAGAAACCTTAAATGTCTATAAAATTTTGAGAAAAATCCTTTAAAATAAAAAAGTTAAGATCTCTTTTCGTCTCAGAACAAGGAATATTGTTGTGTACAATCTTGTAGTTAATTGTACTTCTTACAGCATCCTGTATTTAGTTATTCTTAGTGTGATTTAGCACTTGAATATTTTACACTACCATAACAAAATGAGTTTGAACTTAAAATATTGAAATGTTGTTGCCCATAGGACTTTAAAGGTAAAACTTTGTTCATATAATCTCATTGCCCTAAGGAAATATTTTCATTTTGGTGCATATTCCCATTTGTCTATCCATTTACCTACATGTGTACATTTATACAAATATTCTTAACAATTATTTGAACTTATTAGTTTTAATTTTTTTGTTCATATAAGAAAGTATTCCACAATTTCTGGACTTTTTAAAACCTTATTCATAAAAGATAGCCATCAATTTAAAAAAATTGTAGGTAATCTGAAGAACCATCAGTGATGAATCTCAATGTTTAAAGTATTCACACCCTATTCATTGTTCATGGCCATGTGTTGATTTTTACAGCTATGCATGGTTTATTGATACTTCAGGCATTTAGCTCTGTGCTGACCAATACAGTAGCCACAAGCCACATGTGGCTTTCAATATTTGAAGTGTGTGTATAGTCCAAATTGAGATCTGCTGTAAGTATAAAATACACGTTAGATTTCAAAGCCTTGTACAAACAAAAGAATGTAAAGTATCACATTAATAAATTTTATAGTGATTACATGTTAAAATGATAAAGTTTATTATATAACTAATACTGCATTCAATTTCATCTGTTCCCTTTTTCTTTTTTTAGTGTGGTTGCTATAAAAATTTAAATTACAGATGAAGTTTGCATCTTTAACCCACATAATATTTCTGTTAAATAGTGCTTGTCTAGATTATCTATATGTGTGTATTTTTATGTTTTAGATATAACATTTTCTTCATATTTTATATGCTGTTTTCAGCATCATCTTTTGATTCTTTTTGTTGTTGTTTCCAGTACAGTGGTGCTTTACCTCTCTCCCTTTGCTACCAGTAGTCTCCTAGGAATTTAAATAGGTCTCAGTGAAAGCAATACTTGAGCTTTATACATATGTTCAAGTTAAATCATTTTTCCTAATAATGGCTTTAAGTGCTTAGGTAGATCAGCACATCGTGTCTTGAATTGCATGTTATTTCTCCATAAAGATGTTTTCAAAAGAACTACTCCATGCGATCCCTTCTTTCATTATTTTCTTGCAAAAAGTAGCATAATTCTTTACTAGTTTGTTGAACATTAGAGAACAAAAGCTTTTGAGATTAGTAAAAATAAAATGTGTTTCTAGGTACTGAGAATAAAGAGCAGAATTAGTCATGAGTGATAGTCCTCATAAGTTAATTTTTAAAATAAATCATGAATGCACTGTCAGTCTGCCAGGAGCTTTAACCTCTGTTTTATTTTCACATTATACTTGGGTCCAGGTTGTCATCAGCTACCATGAGGAAACCTATGAAATTCTTAGAGAGAAGTTGCACTGTTAGACTTAATAGTATGGTAGTCATGGAAGCATCAGTTATCTTCATCAAGGCAATTCAGATTTGATTATCATAGAACTGTGTTGAATACCAAACCAGTGGAGTAGTAGCTGGAGCTAAATCAAGGGATTGTCGTTTTTGTCAGATGATTAGGGCTGGCATGGAAGAGATATGAAAGGGTTGAGCTGTGTAAATATTCTCTTTTCAGCAGAAAAAGAAAAGGTCCATCATGGCCATTAAGATGCAGCTTGTTAGCTTGATGAATTTCAAACTATTTAACCTTAGCAATTACATCCCCCTCTTATCCCCATGCCTACATACAAGTTTATCAGTGCTTTGGGATTATGTCTCCAAGGATTAATATCTAAGTATATCAGTAATTTCAATGAATATAAAATACAGCCTTTCTGTGTCTAGATAGATCTCTCAAAGACAGATTATGCTGTGGTTCAAAGACCCAATTACTACTTGAATTATATATTCAGATAAACATTAGAACACTTTTTTCTAAGTTTTTTAAAAAATTTAAGGAAACTGTACGTGATTTTATATATTAGAGATGATAGTATTTGTTTAAATTATGCTGTAAATATGTTGTTTTTGTAAAGTAGACATATTTAGTTTTTATTTACCTGTAAGGGGCTTGGTGCATTTAAATAATTAACACAATTAAGCAATAGCAACACATTTAAATAGGCACACCCAACCTAATGATTCAAGGACATTTTTATGGTGTTATAAATAATATTAAATGCCAGACAGGGCACTGTTCTTGCTGCTTTTAAAATGTACATTGGTCAATTTGCATCAGTCATTTTAGTTTTGTCTTTTTATTATTTCCAGTACCTGGCATATTTTAGGCACTTATTAAACTCAAAAATAAGAAGAGATGACATAGAAATTGCCATCTTTAAAAGAATCTTTGAGTTTTGAAATAACTTATTTATTCTGGATGAAGAAGGACTCAGTGTGCCATCTAGTGGACATACTTAGCATTCTGGCCAACAAAAACTAATGATTTTTTTCTCTTCCTCCACAATGAGCATTCTCAAGACTTTTAAACATAGTTTGTACTTGCGTTACTTCTCATACAATTTCTCGGTTTTTATATCATTTTATGTCATAATAAAAGTCATATTTGAAAATGATCAAAATCATTGAAAATTAATGGAAGAAGTAAATCTATTTGAACTATAAGACAGGCAAAAATAAAAATATGTCAAACTGTCAGTTTTAATCAGGAATAAGAGGAGTTATAGAAGAACTTAATTAAACAATAAAAGCAAAACTCAAGCACACTAATTATTAAACTTCATTATTATATGTATTTTTCTTAAGGAATGTAAAAATGATCATTTCTGTCCTTTTACATGTTAATGAATAATTTAAATAGCATTATACATTTTAATTTATTGCTTTTTTTTCCCTTTTAGAAAAATCCAAGACCAGTGACTTATCAGTTCCATCCCAATCTAGATTATTACAAAGCACGGGGAGCAGACCTTATGAACAAAAGCCGGTAAGTCTCCTTCCCCTGATGACAGCTAAAAATTACAAACATAATCTCAGTCGTCATCAGGAAATTTTACACATTTGCAGAAATTTATTTTCCAAACTTTAGCATATCAGTGGTTAATGTGCATAATGATTCTTTGTTAAATAAATTATGTAAGCTTATTTCAGGCATAAGAAAATGGTGTTTTTATGACAGTAGTAAGATGAAAAATTAAATAAATCTAAGAGTACTTTTTACAACTTGAAGTTAGGCAACTTCGTTTTTTGAACACTAATAAACCTGAATAAATTGTGCCTACTTGGTATAATCTCTTTCTAGATTCTTGCTGTTGATTGAAAAGAAGCTGTTGTATAATATATTTTTAAATTATTTCAGTAACAAAATTAAAATTGGGTTTCCCAACTGACTTTAGAACTACCCAATAAGCTTATAAATGCATCTTGTGTGTGCATTTGTGATTGCATACGTAGAAATTTTAAGGGTCACTGTAGGAATAAAAAACATTAAAATCCTACTTTTTTAAAGAAATTAACATTGGCATAAAGGGTTGATGAACAGTTTTGTTCTTTCATAATACTCTACTCAGATGTCTCAAGAGTTAACTTGTCAAACCAGAACCATTTCAAATTAGAAGGTAATTTTGAAGTTTACTCTGAATGACTAAAATGTTAGTAATGATAAATGCTGTCAAGTTGTCCGAATTTTCTTCCTTAAACATTTTGCCTGTGTTGGCTAGCTTTTCTTCAGTAGACCAGCAGTCTAAGTTTACATTTATGTGGTGTGTATACACAATGTGTTCTGCTATGTGGAGGGTTGAAATACCTGCCTCATAAGAACTCATAGTTCAAGGGCGAGACATTTACAGCAGAGTGGCTAAATGTTATTGTAACAATAAAAGCAGTGTAATTTTAATTTAAAATTACCCATCCTTGATTGAAATCTGTCCCATATTTTGACACACTTCACAACCCATGAGACTTCTCTGAAGCTCTCTTCTGTTTATTTCATTTGAGTCTTGTTTCACAAATAAAAAAACTGTTTCCTGTAGTAATTTGCTCATTTAATACAGCAAATTTTTATTGAGTGCCAGATTTTGATCATTTTAGGCATTGGAGATGCCTGTAAACAAATCAGACACAAATCCCTACCTTCAGGAATCTTACAGTCTGTTCACTTGTATTTTCCCTCCATTATGTCAAACATTTACCTTTCGTATATTTAAAAGAAAACGTATTTTAGGTTCTTTTCTTATGTGAGATCTTCCTGGCTGGAGTCCCTTCTTGCCCACTCTCTGCCAAATTAATTTGCACTGAACAAAGGAATCTCTGTTTACAGTAGATCATGTCACACCTCCAGGTGAACCCCTCCAAAGGTTTCCTATTGCCATTAATGATCCAGTCTTCTTCAGGTGGCTCTTCCCAGTCTTCCTACATTATCTCCTAGTTTCCCTTTTCTTCCTGCCTGTGCCACAGCCTTATTGACCCTCTGTTTTTTCCCCTTTTGGGGGACCTTTGCACTTAACTCTTGCCTCTTGCTAGAACTGTTCTTTCACCCCCATCTTCTCATGCCTCTTCCAAAGTAGAGCTATATCCAAATATCCTCTCAAAGAGGCCACTACTATCCTGACCTCCCTGCCTGTCTTCTCTCCTATTCACTATCCTATTGCCCAATTTTATTTTCTTCATAGCATTCATCACTAGCAGAAGTTACATAATTCATTCGTGCTTCTAGCAGTGCCTAGTAGAGGGAATACACTGAGCAAATACTTACTGGGTGTATTTTTTTTTTTTAACATCTTTTTCTCCTAGAGGAAATGGACTATACCTTTCCTTTCCCTCACTTCTTGGTTTTATTTTCTTCTGTTTAGCCTGCTCTCCCTGCATTTTTCTTTCACAAAATGTTGGTTCTTTTTTTTATATATTTCCAAGTAAGCACATTTTCTCATTACCACATTATTTGTATAAAGTTCATTTGATGGTTGGAAGAAAGGTTTTTCATCATATCTTTTGCAATTTTGAAGCTTAAAATTGAAATTGAGACAAATGAAATTAATTTGTGAAGTAGAAGACATCACAGATCAGTGAGCAAAAAAATAGAGTTAATAGATGGGAAAACTGGCAAATCTATCTGCCAGTTGGGGAATGGTCCTGGGCCTAACTTTGGCCTAGGTATTACTCAGCATTTAAAGAGAATAAAATTATGGCATTTTCAGGTAAATGGATGGAGTTGGAGAATATCATGCTAAGCAAAATAAGCCAATCCCCCCCTCAAAAAAAAGGCCAAGTGGTTCTCTCTGATAAGTGGATGCTGATCCATTGGGGGTGGGGAGGCAGGGAATGGATGAACTTTGGCCAAAGGGGAGGGAGAGGTGGGGCTTAGGGGCAGGAAAGATGGTGGAATGAGATGGACATTATTACCCTAGGTACATGTATGATTGCACATATGGTGTGACACTATATTGTGTACAACTAGAGAAATGAAAAGTTGTGCTGCGGTTGTATACAATGAATCAAAATGCATTCTGCTATCATATATACCTAATTAAAACGAATTAATTTTTCAAAACTGGCTAATCTTTGAAAAGTTTTCGATTTTTACCACAAACCAAAATAAATCCCAAAGTGCACTCAAGCCAACTTAGAAATAAAATACAAGTGCCTCAAAGGAGCTGAACAGGCATTTCATTGAAGGAAAAATAAAATTAGTCAACAAATATATGAAAAACGTACAACATCTTTAGCAGTTAGAGAAATGCAAATTAAAACTCTGCCGATATTTAATCTCATTCTAGTCAGAATGACAGTTATCAAGAATACAAGTAACAATAAATGTTGTGGAGGATATGGGGAAAAGTTACACTCATACATTGCTGGTGAGACTGCAAATTGGTGCAACCACTCTGGAAAGCAGTATGGAGATTCCTCAAAAAACCTGAAATGGAGCCACCATTTGACCCAGTTATTCCACTCCTTAGCATATACCCAGAGGACTCAAAATCAGCATACTACAGTATCGCAGCCACATCAATGTTTATAGCAACTCAATTCACAGTATCTAAGCTATGGAACCAACCTAGGTGCCCTTCAACAGATAAAGGGATAAAGAAAATGTATATATACACAGTAGAATATTACTCAGCCATAAAGAAGAATGAAATTATGGCATTTGCCAGTAAATGGATAGAACTGGAAACTATCATGCTAAGTGAAATAAGCCAATCCCAAAAAACCAAAGGCTGAATGTTTTGTTCTCACTGATATACAGATGCTAACATAAAATAAGAAGTGGGGTAAGAATAGAACTTTATTGGATTAGACAAAGGAGAATGAAGAGAATGGAGAGGATGGGAATAGGAAAGACAGTAGAATGAATTGGACATAACTTTTCTATTTTTGTATAAGAATACTTGACCAGTGTAACTCCACATCATGTTCAACCACAAGAATGGAAAGTTATATTCCATATATGTATAATGTGTCAAAATACACTATCAAGTATAATCTAAAAAGAATACAGTACTTTCACTGACAGTTACTTGGAGACTTTTTAACCTTAATAGTAATAAGGGAAATTATAAAGGAAATGACTAGGGGATTTTACTATACAACAAATATTTTTAAATAAATAAGTGAAAAATAATCTGAACCAGATAAAAAATGGAAAATATTTGTAGTGGTTGTAACTGACAAAGTATAAAATCATGAATATAAGAAAAATATACGCAATTCAGTAACAAACACAAGGTCCTGCATTAGTTTCCCTTCCATCTCATGCTGTGCTTTATTGGATCCTCCTTCTGTTCCTCTAAATAGGTAGAGGACCTCCTGCCCCAGGCCTCTTTTTCTCTCTACCTATACTCATTCCCTAGAGGACCTTACCCCAGTTCCTGACTTTATATTCTACTTATGACTGAAGGCTCCTTAATTTATGTCTTCAGTTTAACCCTTCCCTTTCAACTCAAGACTCACATAGTCCACTACTTGTTCCTCTTGGATGTCCCAAGCTTTTGAGCTCAGAATGATAATTTAACACTCAAATCTTGTTCTAGTTTTGTCCTTAAATAACCATAAATTGCTGCTATAAAAAATTACACTAAAATTGTGACCAGTCTTCAGAAAGATCCATCTAATTTACTTAATAATTTATATTACTTTAATACTTTCTAGAATGAACTCTTGATTTTACCCTCATACCCATAAATCTGTTATTCCCTCAGTGTTTCCTGTCACAGTAAATAGCACCACCCACTTGCCTTAGAATTGTCCTTGACTCCTTTTTCTCCAACATCACACATCAAATCCATCAGCAGATCTGCTTCATAATAAATCATAAAAAATTATTTTTCTCTCTTTGCATTGTTACTGCAGAGTCATCATATCATTGCTCATCTCACTTCTAGTCTCCTTGCTAGTTTGCTGCTTCCTCTTATAGACCCTACAGCCAAATTGAGGTAAATGAGATTGTACCACTCCACTGCTTAGAGCCCTTTTATGACTTCCCAAAACACTGAGGAAAAAATAATAATAAAAAAAAAAGCCTTTATGAGGGCCTGCAAGACAGACCTTTGCTGCTCTAGCCTCCTGCTCTCTCTCCAACCTCATTTGCTACCACCACTCTCTTCAGTTGTTCTCTGGGTAGATGTGGCCTGGCATCAGAAGCTTTATACATGCTTTTTCATATCCAAGAATCCACATGGCACAGTGAATTCCATGTTCAAATTCCATCTCTTCTGACTAGACCCCTTCACTGTGTGTCCCTTGGTTTCACTTTGTTACTATTTGCATTTTTTGTTTTGCATAGAAATACTCATTTCTTAAATGGTTTTAAACTTTTTATTTATTTGCTGTTGGGAAATTTTTGTTTGTTTTTTGCACTAGATATAAACTCCATGTTTGTTGACTATACTGAGTATAGCAGACATTCAGTGAAAGAATTGCACTCAGCAAATAAATGTTTAAAAGGTGGTTCAAACTCATAATTAGTCAAAGAAATTAAAAATAAAT